ATTGCTTTTATACACAGGAAATCCTCTCCCACTTCAGAGATTTGATGAATATTCATTTATATTTTCATTCACTACCCATCACTTAAAAGATATTTGATTTATCAAGCCTTGCCCTACTAGCTTTTTTCTCTTGCTGCTTACAAATGTATTTTGACAAAAGAATTAAGCCCATGAAAAGGATTGCAGGATAGAAATTTCAGGGTGGTCCTTTGATTTCCCCAAATGCCGGCAAGCCACATTCTGAATCTTCACAGGAGACTCTAGGTTGTGAGCGATGGCCAGCAGGAGGCGAGTGTTTTGCACACACCCTGTTCTCAGGCTTCTTTCTAGAGAAGTGGTTTTGTCTATACTCTGTTCATTCCCTTAGTTTGTTCTAAATGGAATCCGTTCGTTCTTGGTTAACTCAGCCTCAGCTACAGTATGTCAGTGTAGCAGGGACGTGGAATTTGAAATGTTGAGAATTTCCCCTAATCTTTTATGAACTCAAAAGATTTCTGCCCAGGAGTTGAGTGCTTTCCTTTGCTTCTGGATAAGGGCCTGCATTGCTGATGTACCGGCAGGTGGCTTTGTGTATTTTATTGGCAGATAGGGCGATGGGGTTCTGCTTCTTAAGAACTATTTCCGTCAAGAAAAACCTCTTTCTTCCTGCTCCAGCCAGGACTGCAGCGCCCGCTGAAAGCCACCACGCTGTCCTGATTAGAGGCCCGGGGTTTCTCGGCAGGTGTGTAAATGACCCGTGCGGGGCAGGTGGCCGCGTCAAGGTTTGAAGTGCAGTTACTGAAGCTGCACCTGAGAGTCAAAGACTGTAGAAGTGAAGCGTCTTAGGATGCCTGGTTTGAGAAAGTCAGGGATTCGTGTCTCTTGATGATCTTAGGCCTCATAAAATTTTTGGCAGATTTCCTTTTCTTCCTCGGCGAACCTCCTGCGTAGCCCCGGCCTGTGCGCCTCACCACGATGGCCACAAGGGGGAGCCCCGCGCGTTTCTTCCTTCTCCGCGCTCCAGCGCAAACCTCCTTTCGTCCTCCTGGGGGAGCCCCAGAGGCCTTCGCAGTAGATGAGCGGCCCTTCCAGGCTTTTGAAGTTCAGAGGTGGACAAAGTGTTCTCTCTCGGCATACCAAACAGTGCTTCCCTCTTTATTTGCATGCGCACTCCTTATTCCTTGTCACTCCCCAAAACAAAGGATGGATCTGTAGCCGTTTTTCAGTGAACTGGAAAACAAAGTTTTAAATATAGAGCTTTCTACTATTCCAGAACATCCAGTGGCTTTCCCTAAAATATCTCAGTTCTTAAGCCTGAATTGAAGGTGTGTCAATACATTAAGGAAAGTGAAGGCTTGAAGCTCGAGCCTCAGTTCCCTCCCCTGGCCGGGTGAGTCCTGGATGGGAAAGCGTCTTCTCTAAGCAGGCTATTTGCCTTGCTTGACCGTACCAAGGACAATAGTTCTAAGAGTGACGGAGTCCGTTGTAAGAAAAGAATCTGACATCAAGAATGGTGAGTATCATAGTATGTGGCAGGTGGCTGACAGAAATAAAATAGAGTTTTAAAAAATGACAATTGGATATTAACATGACTGCTGCTAAATGTGTCGAGGTGTAGTTGCAGCTTCTTGTTCTGTTTCTGGTGACAGAACACTCAGGAGAGATAAGACACTGGACATTAAGACTGCCGGTTTATTTTGCTTCTGACTATCCTAAAATTTTTAAAAGCAGCTAACTGGCTCTAAGCAAGGGACTTAGTATAAACACAGAAGAGCTATTTCAGGTAAAGGTGACCTTCTTATCCATGGAATGAAGCAGGAAGGAGAGGATTCTGAAAAGCTCTTTCTTCCATGATTGTGTCTCGCCGCCTGGTTGGTTAGGTGCTCTGGCAAAGCCCCTTGCTGAGAGAGAGTGAGAAGGAGTAAGGGGGTGGGGGGCAGTTCTCACAGGGAAGCTCAGAGCTGGGCCAGTCCTTGGCTGTAGGGGAAGGAGGCTTTCAGAGTTTGCTGATTCTAAGCTTTCTGTTGATACTTAACTTTAAAGAATAAGCAAAGAATTCACAAGAGACTTGGGGAAGCCTCTGTGGTGAAGTTAATGATACGGGGTTGATACTAGTCTGGGGCTTAGGGAAATGGTGTTTCTGTCTTAGCTCTGGCACTAACCAGAGAGCCCCTTACTTCCCTGGGGCAGTTTTTCCTGCTCTGTAAGCCAGAGTCTCTTGTGCTTCCACAAGAGAGGCAAGAATCAGCTCACCAGCCTGTTTTCCTCTCCACTTGAGCTGCCAGGAAACTCAAGTCAAATTCAAAGCTTTATTTATTAAGGAACCCTGCAGGAGCCTTGGCTTGATCTCTTGATACCATTTCCCTTCCTTATTTTGACCTTCTGTTCTAACTTTTGTTTTCCTTGATCTTAGCATGTTATTATTTTTCATATTTAATATTTTTTGGTACACTGTACCTCCAATCCTTTGTGTAGTGAGCATGGTAGAAATAGATGAAAAGATGGGAGGGGATTCACCCTAGATGAGTCACAGTGTCCCTTCCAGTACTGAAGTTCTGTGATTCTAAAGGGACAAGTCATTGGACATGTCTAGAAGGTCTCAGGTTTGCAGAGAAGGGAGCTCTCCTATTGAAGGTACTGAAGATGGGAATGAACCTCCAAGGAGACCCGGCCAGGATGTGCTCCTGTGTCACTGTGATGTGTCTGTAAAGGAGCCAGAACTTTGTGCTGGTTTACAGGAAAACTGCTTTTCTCTTGGGTTTTTTAAGACTTGCTCCATATGAAATCTGGTAGAGAAATGCCTGTCTGAGGCAGGGCTCAAGAATCTGCAGCTGTATCAAGAACTCCGAGGAATTTGGGTGTCACACTTGGATTTAAGGAAGCCCGAGGGAATGTGTACATATATATCAGGAGCAAGGGAGAAGTTGGCAGATCATTGATGCCTCATCCATTTTGTCCACATGCTTATCTTGACTTTTCATTGTACTGGGCACCTTGATAAGGCTTGAATTACTTTTTGAGAGCTTATATAAAAATTGATTGTATCTACAAGATCATATATATTTAAAGGCATACTCCTACTTTGAGTAGATGAAAAGCTTTAAAAATATACACTAAATAAACATCAATTACTAAGCAGTTATTAATTTTCAAAATATCTCATTGCTTTACCAAAGCACTCATCACGGGGTTCTAGTAAGTGTCCACATATGGCTTGTTTTGATAAGGACTTTCCCACCTCTTTTCTGTGAAACAGAGGAATGATACAGAAGTTCCGGAGTTGCTCAGTTTAGGCTCAGTTCTGATTTGTGCCATGAAGGCCAATAATAAGCTGGAGGTATATGATTTAAAGCCAGTGATAAAAGTTTGGGTAATTATTTTCTGTTCCTGAACATAAAGAAGGTTTGGGGCTTTCTGGAATCTATGCAGAATGAACAAGGTGTTCCTTTCCCCTGAAAATCAGGTCTTATTTACACACAACTGAAAATAGCCTCTACTTTGAGTTTTCATTGTCCGGACTCTGCTGTTTTAGTACCATCCTGAGACTTTCTTTGAACCAAGTGATGCCATCTAACATTTTTTTCAGATTTCCAGGGCACTAGGCAGGGTGCTCCTCTGTGCCACGCAGGGAGGTAATGAAGACACAGGCCTTAAGGCAGTAAGATTTGCTTTCTCCTCTGAGAGGGGTGATGGGTGAGGGAATCCCATTGATTTTTTTTTTCTGTTCGGGAAGGGTTTGCTTTCTGTAGGTGTAACCTTTGGGGGCTGGTGTCTCTGTGCTCTCTCATCACAAGAGCTCACGTTTATTCATGCATGATTCCGTTACTCCTCACCATAACCTCTGAGGTAGGCATGCACATTACCACCATAAGGAAATTGAGGCTTGGAGGAGGAGGTAGGTAAGTTGCCCCGGGTTCCATGTTGAATCAGGGGCACAGCCCCATGTAGGACCAGGTCTGCCAGCTCCAGAGCTCACCTTCAGCTGCAACCCTAGACTGCATCGTGGCGGCAGCAAGCTGGTCAGGAGTCCGGAGCCAAGCCTGAGTGATAGAGAAAAGAACTGAAATCTCGATAAAGGACCTAGGAATCTAGATCTATAGTTGCAGGGAAGCATTTAGTTGATTATGAGTTAGGTGGGTCGAAGAGGGTCTTTTGTTGATTTAGCTAGATAACCTGCCTCTTTTCTCTTTCGGAAGACCTGGTCCAGGAATAATCTCTGATAAGCACTGTTACTTTTTAGATCTTCAAGCACCTTTTTTTTTTTTCTCTCCACGATCTTTGGATGTCTATTAAGAGTTTATCTGTTATCCTTGACAGTTCATCTGTCTGGGTTGATTTGCCCCATTTGGGAACGAGAAGTTTTAAAATTAAAAAGTTGATAGCGTTGAGTGTTGTTGAAAGAGCTCAAATAAAAAAAAATAAGATAGGAAGATCGTGTTGGGGTTTGAGGGAGCCCTTTGAATAGCCCTGCTCTCCCCTGCCTTCATTTTGAACTGACTGAGAAATAAGACCAAAGAGGAAGATGTGTGGAGACTAGAGTATCTCCTTTATCACAGATAAAGAGGATCCTGGAGAATGGGGATCAGCTGCCACAGGTGAGGTTCCTCATGCCGCCCCCTCCTTCCCAGCAAGGGGCAGTGCTGGTCAGAGGCAGGGTCCCCCTCTCCAGAGGCTGAGCTTGTCCCTGGAAAGCTTAGCCTGTTCTGGGCTGAGAGGGAGCAGCTGGGCTCCCAATCCCTGGGTTGTCCCCTTCCAAATCCTCTAATCAGATGAGCTGAACCTTGGCTCCAATGTTGAAAGGAGGTGAGGGCTAAGTGTGGCCAGGAGTATGACCCTAAAGGAGGTGGAAGAACCCTCAGGAAAAAGGAGGAAGCATTCACCTAACAAATTGGAAGGAGACTCAAAGCCTTGGTTCTCCTTCTTAGGGAGTTAATTTAATATTTGTATTTTCTGTCTATAAATATGTTAGCTGATAGGTAAATAGGTAAATTAACATGCTTTTGCTCTGTTTACATTTTCAGATTCTTGGCTATCAGAACACCATCTTCTTTGGTGGAGACTGTATAACCATGATTGATTACCTCTTCTGGCCCTGGTTTGAGCGGCTGGATGTATATGGAATAGCCGAGTAAGACAGTTAACCGTGTGGTTGTGAGTTCCTAGGGCTGCACTGGGTTATCAGTGCTTGAAACGGTCTGTGCAGAGGAATTGATCCTCCACTGGACGTGTTTCACGTGAAGGTGAAATGCGATCAGGTTTTAAACTGTGTGTTTCCTTGTTCAAAATGCATCTGAGCTCTTTTGCCACTCACTGTGGACCCAAACTCTACCCATAGAGTTTGGCAAGAAAGACCGTGTCCAAAAGCTTCCTGTTGTGGTTCAGAGCCCGCGTCCTTGCCGGCCCGCGCAGCGCGGGTCAGGGTCAGTGGTAAAAACAGAAGCAGATGGAAGGTCTCAGTCACAGGGTCTTGGTGCCTTGTCTGAAGCCCCTTCCGTGGCCCTCCACCTGGTCCTGCCAAGTCACCCAGTGGACATCACACACCTTACTCACACCTGAGTTCCCCGAGGAATCTTCCCTCAGATAGGAATACCCTTAAAAAGAAAGATTTTTAAAGTAATGCTTGATGTTAAAACAAACAAACAAAATGGCCAGCCATATGCCATGGAGGGGTAGGGATGTTCCAAGTAAAAGGAGTGACCCGATAGACTCAGGAAGACGGCAGAGGGTCCCTGGGAAGATCGTGTGCTTTGTTCCCACGATGCTCAGAGAAGCTGGACTTGTGCCGGCTCTGCTGTAACCCCAGCCAGTCGCGCGGTGGGTGCCGGACCATCTGGTGTTTGGGAAGCCGGTCCTGCCGAGGTGGAACTGCGTCTGTACCTTCATAACGCATGCTTGGGTCTACCCAAGAGTGAGCTGTGCTCCCCACTTAGGGAGGGTCAGCTAGAACATACTTGGGTATTTTAAGCTAGGTCTCAACATAGACATTACAAGAACCTGTCTCCTCTGGGGACGGAGGGTTGAACCACAGGTTAGGAACCCTCACCTCCACTCCTGGAGTTTTCCACTAACCAGTTTACTATCTGAGCAAGTCACTTTAAACATCCTGACTGGTCTTTGAAAGGGTCCAGTCAGCACCATTATTTCAAGGTTGAATGATTGTTTTTCTCATTTTAAACAAGTGTTTTTGGAAACTACGTCTTTATCTTTTTTCAAGCCCCATAAAATAAAATCTGAGAATGACAGAAGCATGTCTCTTTAAGGCGATTGTTTTTTTTTATTAGTGAACAGTGAAGCACAGACACCAATTTCCCCAGATCAGTCAATCCTCTTAAGGTTAAAGGCAGCAACTTTTGCAATTCAAAAGCACACACGGCTATTCCCGAAATCAGATTTTCCTCTAGTAAGTGATTGTCGCCAGTGATAATAAGGTACCTAAGATAACTTTATTGCCCCAGTAAGCCCATTTCTCGCTCCTTCCCTGTCTTGCAGCTGCGTGAACCACACCCCCGCGCTCCGGCTCTGGATCGCCGCCATGAAGCAGGACCCCACAGTGTGCGCTCTTCTTATAGATAAGAACATCTTCCTGGGCTTCTTGAATCTCTATTTTCAGAACAACCCTGATGCCTTTGACTACGGGCTAAGCTGCTGTGCCTCCTAGCCTGCCCCGTTCACCAGCCAGGAGTCCCAAGCCTGTCGTAATTCTGTGTCAGCTCTCATTTTGGTGGGGCAGTGAATCTCTGTTCATTTTCGTTGAGGTTCCCAATAAACATGGAGCCAGAAAATGTATTCCTTCTGATCATCATTTGTATGACTCCTCTAGGCCATGGCTTCTAATGACTCTCTAGAAATCTCTAGTGCCCAGTGCTACTGTCCAGGGACGTTTTGGGAGCCTGTGTGCCGCCTGGCAACTTGGCCTTCAGCCCATCTGGACGTGCAGGTTATCGATGCTGACGCTAACGTGGAGGTACGAGGCCTCCCCGTGGCTGATGTTTGTCATGACAGACTGGCACCCTCCACAACTTCCTGGAGAGAGGACAGCTAGACACGGGGAGGAAGAAAACACTTCAAGTCCAAACACTCTCCAGCTGCCAAGTTAAATCTGCAGGCCCCGTGGGCGTGCATGAGAATCCTTCTCGCTCAAACTTTGGCCGTGGGCCTGGGAGACGCTGAGGGTCTTGTGACTAAAAGAATTCCAAAGCCGGAAATGAAACACCCGTTATCACCCTGGACTAATGATGTCAGAATTTCACCGGGGCTCTCAGGGCTCAGGATGGCTCACAAAATGTTCTATAGCCGACATCCTGCCTTAAAAAAGTACACACGCCCCAAACCCAGGCATGGGCAAAGGTCATTCTGTTGGACTTGCGTCACACATGCGTTCAGTTCATCCCAACACAGGCCTCTGGTTGCTCTATTGTGTACCAAGCCCTGGTCCATGTGGGTGATAAAGATGACAAAGATGACAAAGACACAGGGGCCTCTGCTCTCTCCACTCATCTTGGTTGAGGTTTTAAACCTAGAGCATTGAAGCTGCTTGCCTTGCAGTGGGAATGCTTCTCCTTTTAAAAAATATTTTTTTTAATTGAAGTATAGTCAGTTTACAATGTTGTGTTAGTTTCAAGTGTACAGCAACGTGATTCAGATATACAGATATTTGTATTATTTTTCATGTTCTTTTCCATTATAGGTTATTACAAGATATTGAATACAATTCCCCGTGCTATTCAGTTAGTCCTTGTTGTTTATCTATTTTATATGTAGTAGTTTGTATCTGTTAATCCCAAACTCCTAATTTATCCCTCCCCACCTCATTTCCCCTTTGGTAACCATAAATTTTTTTTCTATGTCTGTGAATCTGTTTCTGTTTTGAAAATAAGTTCATTTGTATTTTTTTTTAGATTCCACATGTAAGTGATACCATATTTGTCTTTGTCTGACTTACTTCACTTAGCGTGATCATCTCTAGGTTCATCCATGTTGCTGCAAATGTCAGTATTTCATTCTTCTTTTATAGCTGGGTAAGATTCCACTGTGTATATATACCATAACTTCTTTATCCATTCATCTGTGATGGACATTTAGATTGTTTCCATGTCTTGGCTATTGTAGTTTCAACTTTTTTGGGGGGGTGAGTAATTACGTTTGTTTACTTATTTCTTTATTTTAGTGGAGGCACTGGGGATTGAACCTAGGACCTCGTGCATGCTAGGCACGTGCTCTATCACTGAGCTACACCCTCCCCCCCCCCCCCGTCTTGGCTACTGTAAATAGTGCTGCTATGAACGTTGGGGTGCATGTATCTTCAAAGTAGTTTTCATCTTTACTGGATATATGCCTAGGAGCAGGATTGCTGGATAGCTGGGATGGCTACTCTGTTTTTTGTTTTCTAAGGAATCTCCATATTGTTCTCCATAGGGACTGCACCAAATTATAGGAATGCTTCTCTTGGCCTGATTTGGCACCTTGGCTGTGTCCATCTGGCAGTGCCCACCACTGAAGATGACAAAGAGCCCAAAACGGTAGCCAGGCATGCCAGCAGGTGCCTTAGGAGGGGGACAGGCCAGTCCAATGCCATTTTATCTCAGGGTCTTGGGATCAGTCTGTGATCATTTCCGCTTTGTTCATGCCAGATCTTTTCCCAGCCTCCAGCTGTGCTGAGAGACCAGGCAGCAGCAGGAGTGATGTTTGGATTTGTCGGTGCCCACAGAGGAGCTGTCTGCTGCTCCTGCCTCTGACCCAGCCCAAACCAGCCGGGTCTCTCCCCACGTCTCAGCCCGGCCCAGCCATCTGCTGCCTCTGGGAGGATTTTGACTCATGTAAATAGTTACCAGTGTGACTCTGTGCCAGCTGGACAAAGCAAGCCTGCTTGGGGAGGTAGCCTGGTCTGCTAGAACAGGCGCCACGTGATGGGGCAGTCTGCCGTGCCATCTGCTCGGGATGGAGCTCTCTGTTGCCATGGCGCCCGAGCCAACGCAGAGTGAGGTCTGCTAGTCACATTTCCCTGGGATGCTTGCTCGGCCTCTCCTGGGACCCGGGGACTGATCATCTTTGCAGGTGTAAATCCTGTATGTTGGCCAGTGTTTGGCATGGGACTGAGATTGCTGTTGACACAACAGATAAAAGCGTGTCTCTGGATGGCCAAATCCTGAGATGTTCTCTTCTGGGGCTCCGCATGCTAATTTAGGAAGCTTGGAGAACCAGGAAATAAAGGATGGAGAGAAGTGCTCATGGGGAGTTTGCGGACTGGGGGCCCCAGCCCAGTTTGGGATTTGAAAGCTTTTTGGCCAGTTGTGCTCTCTGCAGCTGGCCAGGTCACCTGCAGTGCCTTCCTCTACTTCCTTCTCATTCCTTTATGTCACCCGTTTGAGCCACAGAGGAATCTGAATTGTCAACCTCTGGATGAAACTCAAAGCATTTAGCCTGGAGAAAAGAGGCATGAGGAGCTTTCCAAACACCACCTCTTTTATTTGAGGGGGAGGGAACAGAAATAATACATAAGGATTAAAAAAATACAAGAAAGAGAAACGGGAGGTCTTCCTACATCCCATGTCCCAGAGATAACCACTGTTAACAACTGGAGTGTATCTTATAAAAAGCATGTTCAACTATGGGTTTGAGGTGAAATCTGTCCCCTATGTCCTGCAGATAAGGAAAAAGAGAAAAATAGTTTAAACCACAGCATTGAGAGAGCCTCATTGTCACAGATGATGTTAACATCAAAACTGACGACCAGAGGTGGTATGAACTCCATTCCATAGAGGTCCTGGATTGGAGCCAACCTGGGCTGAGTCCACTTACATCCTGACATGGTGTGGGGTGGGATGGGATGGCCAGGACAGCTGGCAGTGGCGGTGGTGGGGTGTAAGGGGAGTGGTGACTCAATGTTACTTGAAATTCCTTCTAGCTCCAAACTGCTCTGAGCGCAGACAGCAGAGTGGCTGTGAGCATCAGAGCAGATTAAATCTGAACGATCAAGTCCAAGATAGTGCGTCTTCCCTGCTGCAGGAACTTCCCGGGTGTGCCTCTATATTGCTCCTCCAAGCTTGGGTGAGGGTGGGGGTGTGTTTCTCCCTTAATTTCTCACCTCGTGTCCCACCTGGTCCACACTTCCTTTGTCAAAGTCAATGATCTTCTTGATGGAGGGGGAACTTCGCTGCTCTCCCTTGGCCTCTCCCATGGTTTATGTCAGCCTGGCTCCCTTTGTTATCTAAAGTCTCTTATCTAAAGTGTGTATCCAAAGTGTGTTACCTAAAGTTCACAAACAACCAAATATCCAGCCCAAGCTGATTCTCACTGACTAGCCTCCAGCTCCTCCTCGGCCTCCTGCCACCCCATACACACACTGAACACTGTGCCCACCCAGGAGCCCCAGTTCCCATTCATCTACCTCTGAGTCCCAGGAAGCCAGGGCATTTGGTCTTCTCAAATATCTTGCTCGCATCTGGCTTGTCAGAGCTCTTGATCCTTTGCAAATGCTGTTTCCTCCACTCTCTAATCTTCCTCAGGGCAGCCTCCTATTTGTTGTTTTTTTTTCCAACCAATTTTTTCCTTGCAAAGTTCAGACAAGAATCCTTCTTTGTGCCAAGAGGTAGTGTACCATCATAGATAAGAAGAGGACTGTGTGGTCAGAGGTACCCGGTTCACAACTTATCTCCGACACTCATCAAATCCCGTGGGCAAGTTGCTTAACTTCTCTGAGCCTCAGTTTCTTGTCTATAACATGGGACCACTAAGTACCTATTGCATAGGGTGGTTTAAGAATGATGGGTCCATCCACGGAAGGACTTAGCCCATGCCAGGAAAATGCTCGGTGAATGGCCAGCAAACCTATTACCACGGTGAGGCTTCTGTGGATGATCAGACTTGAACCCTGCGTTTATTCTCTCATCACTTTGTGGAACAAGATGTCCCACAATTGTACACAGCCTGATCCATGATTTGGAGTTGCTTTCTGGTTGCCTTGTGTGTGTGGGTTGTCTCAGATCACCTGTGAGCCCTTGGAAGCTGGGACTTTTATCCCTCCCCTACTCTGCATTCCTCACCCCAAGCCTAGTTTAATATTGTGACTCTTGGAAGCTTGCCACATTGATGATGGTAAAATCAGTAACCTCTCCCGTGTTATGGAGGAGTACTCGGAATCCAGCTTCCCTGCCCTCTTGGAGCATGTTATCACCATCAGGGGGTTCAAATGTGAGGGATCTGAAATGTCTGCAGGCCTGCCCAGGTACCAGGCAGCTAGGATGCAGCAGGGAACACAAAACCTCCTGGGACCCTGTGGCTTGTCAGCACCAGACCTGGGGGTTGGGAAGCCAGGAGGGTGCATGTTTGTTAGCAGGAGCAGCCTTTGCTAAACCTGGGCTTCTACTTCCAAAGCTGTGGAATATTTGGGTTATCAGGGGTATAGAAAACTTCTCAACGGTGTGTTTGTGTTTGCGTATGTGTGTGTGCGCGCGCGCGCACGCGCATGTTTCTGGGCATTTCTCCCATAGGAGGAAAGTACTTGGATGAATAATGAGGAACCCTGTAAATGATCTGGGCAGGAGGTATTTTAAAAATTCCATCCTGGGATGGTGGGTATGGCTCAGTGGTAGAGTATGTGCTTAGCTGGGTTCAACCTCCAGTACCTCCATTAAAAAAAGAATTTCATCCTGAAACAAGCAGTACTTCATGTGCTAAACAGAAAGGCCCCCTTTGAGGACTTTGCCTGGACACTATTTGGATAATCTGATGGCAGCAGGGGCTGGGGCGCACACATGTCCCAGGTGCAGTGACAGGGGGCTGCTTAACCTGGAGGCCAGGGGAAGGGTTAGCTGGGGCTCTGCTGAGGTCTCTAATCTGCAACTGACTTTGCTATATATAAAACAGATAAAGAACAAGGTCCTACTGTTTAGCACAGGGAACTACATTCAGTGTCTTGTAACAACCTATAATGATAAAGAATATGAAAAGGAATGGAATATATATATATATATATACACACACACATACATACATATATATATGTGAATATATATATCTGAATCAATGTTCTGTACACCAGAAACGAACACAACATTGTAAATCAACTAGACTCCAATTAAAAAAATAAAAAAATAAAACTGGCTTTGAGTGTGTGGAGGAAATCCCAGGGTAGAGTCAGAACAATAGGAAACCTGTTTATTGAGTGTCTGCTGTCTGTCAGGTGCTTTACATATACTAGTTACACCTCACAGACTTTAAGGGAAGTACTAACTACCCCCATTTTACAGGTGGGTAAACTGAGGCTTAGAGATGCAAGTAGCTTGCCCAAGTGTCACATGGCCAGTAATGGGCAGAGCCAGGGTTTAAACACAGGCAGCTGACTCCGGAGGCTGTGCTCTTAATCCCTACACTCCTCTGCTTCCCCCTTACCAGAGCCCCCTTACCTCCTGCCCTCCCCTTGTACTTCCTCTCTAGTCTGGGAGCTCTCTTAAGGCAGGGATAAGTGATAGTGTCTCACTTGAACTTTGTTTTCTGAGCACCTGGCACAGTGCCTGGCATACAGTAGTGACAGCTACTCAGTAGTGTTTTGTGAAGGAGTGAACACATAAATACATGACTGAATGAATGATGGAATGAAGGGGCGCACGGATAACAGAAACCTGCACCCCTTCCAGGGAGCTCATTGTGAGGCAGCTCTCACAGCTAATTCCCTGCTTTGCTGTCCAGAAGAGGCACCTGATTGCCTGAGAAGCAGGGATGCCCTGCCTGGTACCCTCTTTCTGGCTCTGTTGCTGCTATGGCAACTGCTGGTCTGGGCTCTGGCTCTTCCACAAAGGGACTAGGAGAGCAGAAGGGTCAGAAGGGCCAAGGTAAGAGACCCCTTCTTATTCCCCCAAACTGGAGCCAGTGCCCCAGGCCCACTTGGTTAGGTGCACATTTCCTACGCATGCACCTGGCCCTGGGTGGGGAGGAATTCATTCTTGCAGGTCCTGCGCTGTGCGCTGAGGGAGCCCGGAGGGCAGACAGACTCACTCAATCAAGGGCGGTGGGAGGAGTTACTTGAGAGACAGCCTCATCACTGACGGGGGAACCACGAAGCAGGCATTTGGTGTAAGGAGCCCTCCTAGAGCACGGTAATAACCGCTGTCATTTTGTTGTCATTTATTATTCATCAGGCCCTAAGCTAAGTGCTTCACACGTGCTCTTTCATGCAATTTTCTCAGTGGCTCTATGAGATGGGCAGCATTACTTCCACTTTACAGAAGAACGCGAGGCAAAACCAAAGCTCGTAGAAATGATGACACTTGCTGAGCTAGGACACGGCACACTGGGATATGAACACGCAGCCCGAGCTCTTAGCCCCTGTGCCATCTGACCTGTATGGAATCTGAGTCTCATTGGTCTTTGCACGGCTTTGTCGTGGGAGCAGTCTGGGTCCCCAGTGGGCCGAGCCTCACAGGTGCACCTCCAGTCTGAGTGGGCACATGGAGATGGGGCAGGGAGTCCTTCTTCCTCGCCTCTCTCTGGATCCTTCAACATCCAGGCTGAGCAGTCTTGCTTGGGGTCTTGTCTCATCCTGGAGGGATGGGGCTTCAGTAGCTTCTCTGCCTGGTGGATTACAAAATGCTGTGAGGAGGAAACAAACGTGTGAGGGGGCTTCTTAGGAACTGTTTTGGTGGAAGCTGAGCTCTCAAGAGGGCTGAACGCCACCAACCTCCTTGACCCGGAATCTGGCTCCACTTAAGTCTTCTGTTGTTGCCTTGGTTGGTCCTGACTCCTGGGTTTCAGGAATCTGGGGTTTGTACAGGCTTGTCTCTGGCTGGGAGTCCCAGGGCTGACCTGCAGGTTCAGCTCCCAGCAGGGCTGATTCAGCGCTAATTGCGCCTTTTGGGAGAGGGCTGAGACATTTTCAGCCTTTGGAGGCCCGACCACTGTCCCGAGGGACTTTTGGTCTAGCACAGCTCAGTCCACTCTCCAGGACCAGGTGAGCAACGAGGCCGTGGGGGCTGTGAGTCACCTCTGGTCAGTTGGGAAGACAGCTTGTGAGGAGTGGCAGGAAGTGGGTCTGTGCTTTCTTTTTCTATTTTTAACAAAGTTACCCTAAGAGAAACCTTAAATATCATTAATCGGTGGGTTTTAAAGAAACAGATGGGACTGAATTCTTCCCAACTCCCTACCCAACCTCTGTCCTGCCAATCTCACCTTGCACTCTTAAGACCTACCTTTTACCATCGAAAAAGAAATATCTTTGAACATCTCTGAGGTGTATATGGTTCCCTCCTGTTGGGACAGAATTTGTGGTTGAGTTTTATTTTCTGGTTTTTTTGTGGGGCTATAGAGGAACATCAAAGGGATAGATGATGCCACTCTCACCTCTAAAGCAGGGGCCCCACATTGTGCAGGAGGAAATAAACCACCCCTGGGCTCAGGTGAATGGAACACAGGCATCTGGTGACAGAATGACCATCGTGATGATTTGATTTTCTTTGGGGAGGCTCTTCACACTTTGCTGTGTATAAAAACAAAGCATCTCAAGGGGGAGGGTATAGCTCAAGTGGTAGAGCATATGCTTAGCATGCATGAGGTCCTCAGTTCAATCCCCAGCGCCTCCTCTAAGAATAAATAAACCCAATTACCTCCCCCCACCAAAAAACAAAAAAAAACAAAGCGTCTCACTTGAACTCTGGGTTCTGAGCAGCTGGTACAGTGGCTGGCATTCAGCAGTGACAGCCACTCAGTGTTTTGCGAAAGATCAAATACGTGAACATGTGATTGGCTGAATGACGGAATGAAAGGATGTTTGGATGATGTAGAAACTTACAGCTCAAATCCAAAGCTGATCTGGCTTCTTGCACATCCCCCTGCTCCCCCACAGGCCTCAGAGCCACAATTCCACTTCCAATTACTTACCAGTCTTCATTGTTCTCTAGCTTACTTTGTGGCCATTGGATGCGTCTTCCCAAGAGACCCCATTCCCCAAGGACAGAACCCTTTCCTTGTCTTATACTTGTCCCCCACATAGCACTGACCCAGGGTGGAACACAAGCTGTGTTGCTCAGGACTTAGATAATAATGCCTTTTCTTCATTCTGGAGTCGTAATGATTGAATAAATCCCAGAATAAAGGAATTATTCTTATTTTTACAGTAAAATGCTTGGTAGTGAATGCATAGACAGCAAGTTGGCAAGTACAGAATAATACAGCGTTGACCAGGAGAAGATCACTTCAAAGCAGGCTTTCCCTTCAGAGATGTTCACTGCAGGGTTGTTTACAATAGCAAAAAAAAAAAAAGATACGACACCTAAGTGTTCCTCAGGGGAGGAGGGGTAGATTAGGGTACATTTATCACACAGGAATAGTAAGCAGCTCTTTTAAAGAACAAGGTAGAGCCAAAGGTTCAAAAAAGATAGCCAAGAAAAGTGAGATAGCATGGTCCAATTTATATAAAAAAGAACAAAAGGGATGCATCCACACATGTGATACATAATAGGAAAATTCTGGAAGGATACATAAGAAACTTCCTGTTGGTTGATGCTGGGGAATGAGCTGAGAAATCAGGAGTGGGAGCTTTTATCTGTTACTTAATATTTCTGAGAGTGGTTGAATTTTTTTATCATGACTGTATTGTTTTTGTTTAAAAAGGGTTAGAAAAACAAGCTATCTTTGGATGGCAACAAGAAAAGTTAACTCTGAGATGTCCCTCCAGGGTGGCGGATGGGGACAAGGCAGAGGAGGGTGAAGTGGGCAGGGCAGGGGGGTAGTGAGCTGAAGGCAGACACTTCCATCACCGTGTGGTTCTTGGCTCCCTCTGCCTGTGGTCCACTGGCCAAACTAAACAAACTTCCCGCTCTATCCCATGAGGCAGAGACCGGATGGAGCATTAGGAGGTTCTGAATCACAGTCTTCAGAGTGACTTAAGATTTCTGGGACATTCACTGACTGCTGCCACAGATGCCATCAACTTACTCTAGGTACTTGGCACACAGTGGGTGCTACTTAAATGCTGCCTACGTCTATTATGCTCTCCTACCTTCACTCCATGGTTCCGGCTGAGATGTGTTTCCTGGTCAGTCCCACCCATTTTTCAAAAACAGAATCTGGCAGTGCCCTGCCTCATGCCCCAGGTACCAGGGGTTCTTGGACTCTCAGCATCACCTAGGGAACTTGGCAAAACGCTGATTCCGGTGCCCGACTCCTTCAGATTCCACTGAAGTCTGCAGTTTAGTCCAGGAACCTGGACCCAGGTGATACCACACATGACCTGCTAGAAAGGCATGCTTACCAGCTTTTACCTTGCCATCCTCTCTCTGCTTCCCAGACCATTAGTGTGAGTATGGGTGTGCTCACGGATGCCTGTGATGTAGCTGATGCCACCTGGACCACGGATCCCAAGCAGGCTCACCAGCTTCTACCAAGCCTACCTTCCAACAGTTTGGTAGGGAAAACAGTCCACTTGGGTTTTCTTTAACTTTCCATTTGGAAAGGAAGTGAAAAGCCATCCTCCACCAGGAGTGTCATCAGTCACTTGAGGGAGCTTTAAAAATAGAGTCGTATTGGGCACCATGTAGGTTCAAGGTGGGGTCTGGGCATTTGACCCAACTCTCCACAGGATTCTGATGACACCCTGTATTATGAGCCAAAGTGCTGGGCCCAAGTTCTCAACCCAGGCTGTACTTTGACAAGCCTGAGAGAGGGGCTGGGGCTTCTGAGGAGGTGGGGCCCTCCTTCAACCTGACCAACCTTGTGGCTTCAGGCTGGCCCTAATCATTTCATTTATCAAGAGGTGCAGCAAAAGTCCTCGGATGTTTGGCACAGGAAGTGAGCAGATGCTGGGTAAAGTCTAGCATCCTTGGGAAGGAAAGAGATTCCTCGGAGAAAGCTGTCCTCAGTGGAAAGGCTTAACGTGTCCTAAAAGACTAGAACTTCTTCTGTTTAAAAGACAACCTCTTTCCTTCAAGCCCAAAACTTCACATTACTCCCAGGCTCGACATTCTTTGCACACACCAGCTCTCTGTGAAATAAGGTTTTGTGCCAGAATCCACCCTGTAGCTGGCTTTCAAAGGCCCTTTCTGGAACTCTGCAGGCTGCTTCAAAGATGGGCCAGAAATATTCTATTTTGCTATCTTTTAAAGTTTCCTGAAAGCATAAGAATAAAAAGGGAAAGCTTCCGCTCGTCAATAGGAAACCCACCCCCTCGCCAGCTACTGGGAATCTCACAGATTTCCTGAAGTTAAAAACAAACACCGTGACCAGTGCCTTCTCCTTGCAAGAATTTAATTCGTCCTTTAATATAAATAGGGCAGCATGAAAGGCCAAGAGCCCCACTGCTTTCTGCTTCAGAAGCAGCTTTGGTGCATAAAAGATCCCCATTTCCCCTCTGAGTTGTTGCCGCTGGATAAACAAGAGGCCAGAAGGTAATTTTTCAGTGAACTTTCTCCTGGAAGCAAAGAGGGGAAATCGGGGGTGGGGGGAGATTTAGGCTTGGTTGTGGCTTCTGGAAGCTGGTTCTTGGTTGCTGGGGTCTCTTCAAAGCCATCAAATGAGGATGAAGATGGGAAAGGAAAGGCACAGGTGACAATAAATAAAGGAAATTCACCCCGACTCTGGAAACAAATCCCTGTGGAATGGGGCACTTGGGGCTATGGTTGGAGACCACATGGGCCTGGGAAGGGGCAGACCCAGGTGCTGCTCAGTCAAACCCCAGCTCAAAAGGAGGGCCTCCTATGGGCTTCAGGGCCCCATCACAGACCAGCCTTCCACTGTGAATCAACCTTGTCAGGCAAAACTGTCCATCTTCTAGAATACTCTGAGGCCAGGTGAGAGCACTCCTGGAGTAGAGAGAGGATCCTTTCTTCAGTTCGCGGTGAGCCCCACACCCCTGAGGAACCGGATGCCCTCTGGGAGGCACGGCCAGCTTCAGCCCAGGAGGCAGTCCTGGGGAAGGAGCGCCTGTTCTTGCTTCCTCCTTGGCCTTCTGCAAGGGTTACCGAGGCAATGCCAAGAGAGGCACTCCCAAAGGGCCAGTGAAGCCACAAATGGAGGAGGGAGCGGCCTCCCAGCACCGCTGAAGCAGGCCTGCAGCCCAAGGCCAGCTCTGACCACAGGCTCTGCTGGCTGCCCAGGGACTGCCGCCCGGCAGTGCCAAGGTGGCCTCTCCGAGGCCTGAGCACTGTGCTTGCAGTCTGTCCCTGTGTGTCCCGGTCAACCGGGCCTCTGTCTGGCTCTTGGGTGATGGCCATCTGTGTGGCCAGCAAGGCCTACCAGAAAGGGGGTTTCTGTGCTGTGAGGGAGCCCCACTGGAGCAAAGAGCCGAGGGGATCGGGGGGCCTGCGCGTGGGGCTGGGTTTCTACAGCAGGTCTTGCTTCCGGGCACACCGTGCTCTAAGATCGGGGCCCTGAGGAAAACTCAGGGCTACGGCACCCCTCACCTCGCAGCTCCACGACCTTCTCCGAACAGAAGCCAGGCTGCAAGCCAGACCCCAGCACCCGGGTACCAGGCTCTGCCCTTTGCCTCTTTCTCTATCATCTTCCACCTCCAGTGTGTGACTCCAAGTCCCAACATACTGGTGGTCAGAGAGACCAGCTGTGGGGAGAACAACCTGGGGTGAGGGGCCGCTGAGCTTGCACCTAGCATGATGTGTGGTACCCACAGGGTTCAGGACACAGCATCCTGGGGGAGAAGGCGGCGGGGGGGTACACCTTGAGTGAGACCTGTGGTTGGAAAAGCGGTCAATTTAAACTTTTCTCTGCCACTGAGTACCCACTTTTGTGCAACAGAGACATTAGCCTCTTGGGGCTTTGAATCTTTCTTGGTCTGTTCTCCAAATAGGATAAAAATGGCAGCCACAGTGGGGACCTATATTGTGCAGGCTGCAGATGGAAGGCTGCAAATTCCCACCTGGTCCCCATCATTTGGTTGCAGATGCCTGGGGCCAAGGGTTACTGGAAATCAGGGTGCAGGTGTTAACATAGGTTCCTGTTAGCATTCCTGTACCTCCTCTGATGATATTCAAGTAGAGATTGAATCTGGGATGTAAAAAGAATCACACCCAAATTATGTCTGCATTGTCTGCAACTCAGTGTTCAAAGAGTTCTGTTATCACCTTGGCCACTGGTAGTGATCCAAAAGTAAGCTGCAAAGAATCAGTCCCCAGATCCAGACAACAGCTTCACCAACAGGCCCCAGTGGCATGAAAGCAAACCAGCTTCGGCTTGAAATTTCATTTCCTCTGTGCTATAGGATCTGGCTTCCCCTGCAGGCTAAGCCACGGCACCCTACAACGCCTGCCATTTTCCCAGGACAGGGCTTGCAGATGCCCCCAGGGGAGTGGACATGCGGGATGCCCCGAGTCCTGGCCCTCTGGGTCCTGGATGCTCTACAAGATGACAGCTTTTGGGGGCAGGCTAGAGTGGTCTGAGGGAATATGGAGGGAGTACTCGCTAATGAGTGCTGGGGCATTCTTGAGCATCTCATAGAAGGAGTCTACCGTCTTCCGGTAGAGACTTCGCTGCAGGACGAAGGGCCGGAAGAGGTTAAGAGGCTCAGCCCTGCGCATGGCCTCAGGGAGCCCCATGGCCTCGGGCACCTTGCGGTTGCCGATGAAGAAGTGATGGAGCTTCTTCTCCAGAAGGCTCTTCTCCAGAAAGCGGAGCAGCTCGTGCAGACGTGCGTCGAGCTGCCCAGCCTTCCAGTCGGCGGGCCGCCGGGCGAGCAGGAGGTGCAGTAGGGCGGTCTTCAGGTGGTAGTTGCTCAGCCCGCTGGGGCCGGTCAGGCAGCTCTGCTTGGAGAGCAAGAAGGAGGCAATCTGCAAGCAGCTGAGGTGGCAGGCGCCCTCCGGCAGGGCCTTCGATGTCATCCTTAGGAAGTGGCGCTCGTAGACAGCAAAGGACAGGAGCCAATCGGTGCTCGATGCCGAGGTCCCGGGGCAAGACTCCCGGGGAAGGTGGGAGACAAAGTACAGGTCGGAGTCATCACACTGGATCACAGGAATCAGGTTGAAGGGCATGAACTTCCCTGAGCGGAACCTGATCTTGAGGGACCCTGGGGTGTCTAGCTGGCCAAAGGCCAGGTCGAACTCATACTTGTGGGCGATGCGGTGCCAGGCTCTGGTGAGGGCTGTCTGGAACCACTTCATGACTCGCATCGTGTCCAGGTAAGGGGAGTCTTGGGCGCACAGGGGGTCTCCTGCCTCACTGCTGGGCTGTGCCACGTTGTTCCTGCCGTGAAGGAGACACAACATGTCCTCCCCAAGCTTGGTCTTGCCGCAGATACAGCTCAGCGTGTCCTCGTCGGCCCGGACGACCTTGATCTGGCCATACCCCTGGCGATCCAAGGGCACGGAGCGGCTGGAGCACCAGAGCTCTGGGTGGAAGTGGTAGGGCTCCGGGGGCATGAAGGGCACAAAGAGGTTGCACAGCAGTGGCTTGTTGACCTGCCAGTTCTCATACATGCTGTCCACGCCGATGAAGTCCTCCACCTCCATGTCTGAGTCCCGGCTGCACAGGCTTCTCAGGGCTTCCAGCAAGTCATCCACGAAGCCTTCCACAAACTCCCGGGTGCGGGCGGCGTCGGCTGTGGCCCCTCGGATGCAACGCTCGTAAAAGTGTTCGAGCGTGGCCTTGTTGGGCAGGGTGAGGCCCCGGAGCGGGGCGCCCTCCAGGCCGGGCAGCTCATCTTCATCTGCGCCCAGGCACTCGGGCGAGGGTCCGTCCTGGTGGTCCTGCCGCCACACCTCTATCACCAGGAAGAGGATCATGCAGAGGGTGCTCCACAGGTCCCAGGCAGCACGGCTTTCGTTCTGCTGCTGGCCCTCCTCCGCCACCCGCTCCAGCGCCTCCTTCTCGGCCGCCAGCCGCGCCACCTCCTCCTCCAGGCGCAGCTGCTCCAGCTGCAGCTTCTCCTGGTGCGCCTGCATCTGGCGGATGATCTCCTCCTCGTTCTCGGGGACCGTGGCGTTCTCTCGCGGGAACAGCAGCGGGTGGTTGATGATGGCCGTCACGACCACCAGGCACACCCGGAAGAGCCCCAGCGCCATGGCGGCAGCTTTCCTGGGAACAAGGGGAGAGACCGCTGGTCACACCGAGCTTCCCTCAAAGCCACTTCTTCCCTAGTAGGTCCCTCCCACCGACCTCTGCCCCACCGAGCTGGTGAACCCACCCAACCCACGGTCTAGCCTTGGGAACCAGAACCCCAGTCCCACACCAGCAGTCCTGGCTGCACAGCCCACAGTCTTGGAGTTATTCCTAGCTGCCCAGACAGTCCTCTTTCCCGTAGCAGCACCCCACTTTCCCTGAGAACCAGACCATTTCTACTCCCAGGCCTTACTACTCCGGTGGGGATGAACCCACCCCCAGCTGCAGGAGTATGGGTATCACCTAAGCCCAAGATTACTCCCTGCTCCTCCTCACCAGCCACAGTGACAGTTTCAGGATGAGCTTATGACCCTCACTGTTCTGGCCAGTGGGAGACGGAGGTAGGATTTGTTGGGACCAATGGGGAGAAAGACTCACTCTGTTGCCTAGGGTTGTTGAGGGAATAAGGATTACACCTGCTGGTGGCTCTCTAGCTACCTCAAAGTAGGGGTGGAGGTGTGTGGGTCCACCAGAGAAAGATGCCAACATGGAGGAAAGCAGACCTGCTGGACCCAGCCATGCCTGAAGCCATTACCTCTGGACTTTTTAGTCATATAAATCAATACATTTCCTTTTTATTTAAGTCAATTTTAGTTGTTTTCCAACACCTGAAACCAAAATAGTCCTGAATAAGATATCCCCTCTCCCTACAGTGAATGCCTTCCAGGGAATGCTTGCTTCCTCAGTGCAGAATAGCCTAGCGGTTAGGAACAAGACGGTTGGGTTCCAAAGCCGGCCCTGCCACTTACTGATCAGCTGTGTGACCTGGGGCATGTTAACTCATCTCTCTGAGCCCCAGTTTCCTTACTGTACAAATGGAAAGTCGTAGCACCTAGAGGGTCATTGTATTGATGGAAGCACTGATCCATGAAAACTGCACACACAGCACAGGGAATGGTGCACAGCGTATGTTCACTGAACAGCCGCTGTTTTTGAAGCAGTCTGCAGCTCTTCCCCTACTGTAAACTTCTGATCTGGAAGACCCCACCCCAAATTCAGACACTGATCTCCTGGCTACTCCAGGGTCTTTCACAGGACCATCTAGGAGACAACCAGACTGACTCAGTCCGTGGTTTTCCTCTCACGAGTCATCTGAACTTCAAATCCGACTTCTTAATTGTGAGAGGGGACACGCCACTCCTCCAGGATAAACGGATTTCTAGGTCTCAAGTGACTTTTGGGGAAGAACTAACCCCTTACAATACTTGCTATTCAGACTGTGCAGCTGCAACATCTCCTGGGAGTTTGTTAGAAATGCAGATTCTCAGCCTCACCCCAGACCTACTGAACCAGAATCTGCATTTTAATACCATCCACGTTACAGTCTCACATTGTAAGCCTTATATTATACCCTCCCTTCTCCCTGGCAGAAATCTTGGTAAGTAACACCTGGCTTTTTCCACATTTGCTCCACCTGCTTCCTGCCTGGGACCTCAGCTAGGAAAGCAAATGGCCAAAGGAGGTCATTTTTGGACAACAAAGAACACAGAGGGGGTTCCCCCCACAATACATGCCAATACCCTGATAGAAGCCCCATTCCCTGACCTTGACTTTGCACCATGAAAACCACCTGTTCTAGTTCTTACCCTAATGGTCAAGAGGCAGGTGTCTGTCACCAGTTACGGACACTTCTGCAGGTGCTATCTGCAGTGCCATGATACAGATGGCCTGAATTGCCACACTGGGGCAAGGCCTGCTGCTCAGATGTGACTCCGCCCGGTTGCACACGTCAGCAGGAGTGAAAAGGGTTGCGGGGAAGAAGGTCTAGCAGCAGCATTCAGTGTGGAGACACATTCAGGCCTCAGAGGTGAACTCACTCGAGGAGGAAATGGAGGACGGGAGAAAGTGGAGGAAGTCTCAGACCAGAAGGGAGGTGGTGTGAGGAGAAAGTACAGGGGGCAGCCAGCCAGCTTTCCTTCCCCAAGACAAGGAGCAGCTTGCTGGATTATTGCAGAAACAGGTCAGCCCTGGTTTCAACGTCAGAGAAACATCAGTGGAAAGTTTGGCCAGAGTGATTCAAAGTAAAACTGTAAGGTGGGCTGATTAACATGGATCAGAGTTTTAAGATAAAGGCGAGGAGTACTAATAGTAGAATGTTAGAACCAGGCAGCAGCCAGTTAGGAGATAATATGGGGGTTGTGAGGCCCGTCAGGGCCCCGTGCTCTAGGCAGCCACATTCGGGCACAGCAGGCCCGGACACGTCACAGTAATAGCCCTTGTCAACACCTGGTTCCAGCGGTCAGTTTCCATGCCACCTCAGGGTAGGATGCCACCAGCTGGCGACGGTACCATCCCCAAGTCCTGTGACTGGGAAGTCCTTCTCCTCTCTGCCCAGTAGTTTCTACAGGACTACCTGTGTACACCCTCATGCCTGCTGGAAGATGATGGCCTGTACTGGGGCAGGCAAGGTTCAAAACCTCCCAGCAAACGGGAGCAATTGACACCGTGCATGGGGGGGGTTAAGAGGATGGACTCTGGAGGAGACAGACTGGGTTAGTACCCAGCGTGTCCACCTACTAGGTATGTGACCTTGGTCAAATCATTCCACTTCTCAGAACCTCGGTCTCTTCATCTGTAAAATAGGAATAGTAATACTTGCTGTTATAAAGGAAATAATGCAGAGGAAGCACTCAGCAAATGCTTGCCTCTGAGCTGGTTTTCTTATAAAAGGGAAGCCTTGATGGGATGGGAATAGCCAACGCACCCGCCTGCAGGCGTTGGTAATGCAGTGGGCCAGGCAGATGCCCCTGCAAGGGACCTGGGCACGATGCAGGCAGCCACGAGCACACTGACAATAGTAGGTTACAGGCAAGACAACAGGAACACAAGGGAAGCAGAAAGGAGCCCGAGCTGAAGAAGCAGACAGGCCTGGGTTTGAACCTTGACTCAGCTCCTTGCTGAGGGGTCCAGGGTGAGTCACTTGGCATCTCTAGGGCTCCACTGTTTCACTTATGAGATGGAGCTAATTGCAGACCCCCCTTCACAGGAAGTAGGGGTTAAGTAAGACCATGCATCTCAGGTGCCTGGCATACAGCAGGCACCTTACAACACCAGCTGCTTCCCCCTTGGCCTCTGTGGGCCTGTTTTCTCATCTGTCACACACACCAGCCCTGCCCAAGGAGGAACACACGCTCAAAAGTGCTCTGAAAGCACAAAATGCTCCCCTAGGACTGCGGGTCCCTTGGCATGCCACTCCGTCCACCCTGCCCCCCAGCAAAGGGGGAGAAGTCTTTGGAGCTTTGGCTCCTCCTGCAGGTGGAGTTCCCTCTGACTCACTCCCCACCTAAACCACCTCCTCCCTCCCAGGGATGGGATCCTGGCATCATTTTGCTCCTGATACCCTCTGTGCAGGCTGGCTCTGCTTGCAGCGCCTAAGTGACGGGGAACAGGGCGGTGGCTGCTCAGTGCCCACAAGGTGGGACCGAGTTTGAAGCCTCCACTACTCCCCCTCCTCAAACCAAGTCACAGGCAACACTACCCTGGGGGCTGTGGGGGTCAGAAGAATGAGGGGAGAGAATCCAGGTGTTTGGACTCCTGGAGACCACAGGGACAGGACAGAAGCTGGGGGCCTCAAAAAACCATAGACATATGCACACACATACACTCCTCACCAAAGGGCCCCTTTCTCCCCAATTTCAAGGGTTTTTACCTCTGCCTTGGCCCAAAGCTGTCACCTCTACAAGGCTGCCCCACACCTGTAGTCTGAGACATCCAGTTTGACAATAAACCTGGGTCACTTGGAGGGCTTTCGTTGGTCTGCTTGCCAGGAAGTCGGCAGGAAACCTGCCAAGTTCCTCTCCACCCCGCCCCTGCCCACAGAGCGTGGCAGCCCATGCAGGTCACGGCTAAACTTAGCCTGGCAAAGGGCCAGGGTCACGAGGGCAGCAGGGGCAGCGACAGAGGGTTGCAGGTGGTCGGCCCCAACGAGCGGTTTACTGAGACACTGACTCTGAGCCTGGCCGGAAGCCCCAGGCCCTGGGAGAGAAATCCCAGATGGTTCCTCATTTCTGCAGGTCCCTCACTCCTGTGTCCCCCAGATCGCCCCAGCACCCCCACTACAGCTTAATCCAATGAATGCCACTAAGAGCTGGCTAATAGCAACACGCTTCTGTTTATCACGCCCTCACTAGGATGTGCTGGGCACTGCACACAGCGACCCCTGAAAACTTCTAGGCGGTAGGTTTTATCCTTCTTTCACAGGTGGGTTAAACCAAAGCTCAAGAGATGTAATTTTCTGGCCACACAACTAGAAAAGGCACAGCTGGGCTGAGAAAGTCTGCTCTATCTGCCTCCACCAAAGCCCAAGTACTTCCCACTGTGCTGTTTACAGAGCACCTACTATGTGCAAGGAACATGCTGGGGGCTACAGGGCCTGCAAAGATGAGCGGGGCATGATCCTCGGTGGTAAAAACACTACAATCCACATAGGAAGCAGATAGCCTGTAAGAACCCTCACAGGACAGAATGAGCTGTGAGCAACAGGCTACAAGGTCACAGCATGAGAGTTTCATTCCTGTTCTTTTGGGGGCCCCTCCTGTCTGTAGACCTGCTCGGCGCCCACCTGCTTGGCTCCATATCCACCACGCCCCCTCCTTCCTCCAGACTGAATTCCTCCAACAAACTGAGAACAGCAGGAGCCTGTGTCCAGACCCACATGTTCATCAACACCCCTCTGCGCGTCACCCACCTGCCCCCACCCAGGGCTGGCTGTTGACCGTGGCCTCAGCAGCCCGGGCATCTTTCTCAGCAGCCCAACAGCTTCCAGGACAGTGCTTCTCAAAATATGGTCACAGCTCAGCATCACCAATGTCACCTGGGGACTTGTTAGCAATACAAATTTTCAAGTGGAATCCCAGGCCTACTGATCAGAAATTCCAGCGAAGAGGCCAGCATCTCCAGGTGGTTCTAAAGCCCAC